CTTCCATTATCCAAAATTCATTAGATATGAGGCATTGTTACAAGTATTTTGAAGAATGTCTGATTAAAAGGGGGGGAGGGAAAAGGATGGGGGCATGAGAGTAGGAAAGACGGTGGAATGAAATGGACATCATTACCATAAGTACATGTATTAAGACACATGACTCTATGATTTGTGTATAACCAGGTATGAAAATTGTGCTCTATATGTGTAGTATGAATTGTAATTCATTCTGCTGTCATATATAACAAATTAAAATTTAAAAAAAATTTAAAAAGAACGTCTGATTACTCTTTATAATAATCTTTCAGGAAAGCAATATTACTTTCAACTCCCAATTCAGGAAAGTAGGGCTGTGCCAGATAATTCCACAGAGTAACAAATGCCAAGCTGGAAGTCCTCTTGAAACAGGCAGTCCACTGTTCCCATGGAGAAGCCTGACTCCCTCTGAATCTCTGCATGTTGACAAGGATGTATGTATTTCTCCCTCCAGCACCTAATATGGCAATATTTTCCCTTTTATTACTATAGTTCCTTATATAAAGAATTTTTAATTTCCCTTTGTCTTTTGTCACTTGACTTTCATTTCCTGTTTTGGGTTTTTTGCTTTTATCACTCAGCCTTCAGTTCTGTCCTGCTTCTTTCCTCTTCTAAGTTCCAGTTTTGGTACTTTTTCCTTTGTGTTTCAGTTCCTTACCTTTGTATTTAGCAAGTGAAGTTTTTATTTTTCAGTTGTCCTCAGTCATGTGATACACATATACATATCTGAAAGTTATTTCCTTTGAGCTGTCCAGATCAGACTTCAAGAATTCTCTAATTTAAATGCTGTAATCAGGCACTGTGGCACATGCCTGTAATCCCAGCCACTCAGGAGGCTGAGGCAGGAACATTGTGTTCAAAATCAGATCCAGCAGGGAGGCCCTAAGCAACTCAGTGAGACATCTCTAAATAAAACATAAAAAGGGCTGGGGATGTGGCTTGGTGGTTAAGTACCTCTGGGTTCAATCCCCAGTACCAAAAATAAATAAATGCTGTAATTATACTACACATTTTATTGAAAAGGATTATAAAATGCCTACAGGTTTTGTTTCGTGAATAAACAGTAACAAAAAGATGAGGGATGGAGAAGTTTGAACATTTGATCTCTTGATGAGATATGGAAGGGGAGAAATTGGCCTCCATTGACGGTCTTCTAGTTAGAGAACTCCGGGGCAATTTGTAAGACTTAAGAACATACAATAATGTGGTCTGGGATTGTGGCTCAATGGTAGAGCACTTGCCTAGCATGTGTGAGGCCTTGGGTTTGATCCTCGGCACCACGTAAACAAAGATATTGTGTACATCTAAAACTAAAAAATTTTTTTAAAGAACCTACAATAATGGGATTTATAAATAGGTATTATCACATTATGCTGGGCACGAAGGTGCACGCCTGTAACCCCAGCAGCTGGGGAGGCTGAGGCAGGAGGGTTGTGAGTTCAAAGCCAGCCTTAGCAGCGGTGAAGCCCTAAACAATTCAGTGAGACCCTGCTCTAAATAAAATACAAAATAGGGCTGGGGATATGGCTCAGTGGTCAAGTGCCCCCTGAATTCAATCCCTGGTACCAAAAAAAAAAAAGTGATATTTTTATCTTTTTAAAATAAGGCCATTATTCTACCTAATGTGCCTTTGATTCTTATTAGAAATCCAACTTCTAAATAATTCTATGAACTGGCCATGGCAACAAAGTGTATGGAAATAAATACTAAAGTCAGAGTCAGGTGTGGTGGTACAAGCTGTAATCCCAGGGCTCAGGAGGCTGAGGCAGGAGGATCGTGAGTTCAAAGCCAGCCTCAGCAATTTAGCAAGGCCCCAGGCAACTCAGTGAGACCTTGTCTCTAAATACAAAATAGTACCGGGGATGTGGCTCATAAGTTGAAAGGATCAGGTGAACACCTCTAAACTTTTATATTCTATAGTTCTTGGTTCAACACATTCTCCTCTCCTGTAAAAAACTGGAAAATTCTTAATAATAAAAGAAAGCTTTCTGAAGTTACAAAGTAACTCCAGCCTTGCTCTAGTTTAGATCTTGCTAAGTAATCTTTCCCAATTCTCCCACTATGTGCATATTTGCTATTGTCACTACAATAGCATATTTACTATTGGCACTGCAACTGTAATTATTATAACAATAAACTGTGTTGTAATGTCCCCTCATAATACTAATAATCATACCTGAACCAAATACCTGTTTAGAGGTAATCTGAACATTTACAGATTTTTTTTTGTTATGTAGGTTTTACTCTGTAACCTTAATTAGATGTCAAAATCATCTTGTATTTGAAAGCACTTAACTCCAAAACTGTGCTTTGTCACTGAAAACATTATGTAAATGTTAACCAAATGTTCAGCAGAAACTGGTGACACTAGGAGAAAGTCTGATGCCAGTACCTAGAAAGATAGTGTCAGTTTCTAAAACGTATTTTTAAGGAAGGCCTTATAGCCTCTATGGTTAGGTAACAATACCAGTTAGAGGATTTTAAAATTGGAGTGGATCTTGATGGTAATCTAGTTTAACATCATACTCAGCATTAACTTTACCCCTCCAACATTCTTGCTATTTAACTTCCTGCCACTTAAAGCACAGGATGATGCTTTAACATGCTCTGAGACAGGGAGCTTACTACCTCAAAATACCATATCATTAAAAGACAACTTTAATCATTGGCAAATTCTGTAAATATCCCATGAGCTAGGTTTGATGGAAGCCACCACTAGCTGTTAAGTGTAGCACTTATTCTTTGTTGTAGGCCCACCTCTTCATTTGTGGAGGCCAGGGCAAGAGAAGAAATGGAGGACCACATACCATTCCTAAACACACAGAAGTTATAAAATTAACAAGCTGTTAAATAAAGCATGTTTCATATTTCTATCTTCACAAATACACTTTTCGAATGTCCAAATTTAAAAACAGGTTTAAGACACATTTTTATGTGAGCAAAATATGAAAGACAATAGAATTTCTTTTTTTTTTAATATATTTTTAAGTCATAGACAGACACATACTTTATTTTTATGTGGTGCTGAGGATTGAACCCGGTACCTCACACATGCTAGGCAAGCACTCTACCACTGAGCCCTACAATAGAATTTCTTTATTGGATATGTCTGAGTGTCTGTTGATGAACTGACCATGTTGGAATGGCAACTATATAATTGACTTCATTTCAGTGAAATCACATTATTAAGATTTTCACAACTTATGATCTATTGGTAGTAATGATACCAAGCATAAAAAATAGAATTATACTAAATGAGTATACATTCTCAATAGTAACTTTCTCATACTTGAAATCACTAAATAAAAAAATAACATAATTGACAAAAATTTCTAAAAACTTGAGGTTTTTATCAAAAATTTAAATATTACATTTGAACTAAAACAATACTATTCACTATTACAGTCAAATTGCTCATCTTTTTGCCAATGTTAAGACTCAGTATCTATCATTCCTGGCATTTTGGGCTTTTGTTTGCATATGAATCAATTAAATAAGAATTACTTGATATCCTCATCTGCCACGTACAACCATTGAGAATTACCCTGCTAATACATGGGACCAAGAGTAGCAAGAAAATTCCTGGCATTTTCAGGATAGGGTACTTCTTTAACCAAGAATCTTCCATTCACAATAACTGAGAATTTGACAAGTTAATGTCTTTTATTTTACCCAAGTGTTTCTTCCACTCAACCCCTCTCAATTCTCCCACATCATGTTTAACTCTGTAATACCAGTGCAACTCACAAAACTTCCAGAATGTGGTGAAGCACTTTTCTGCTATCTGAACTGTTACCTGGGTGCACCAAGTCATTTGTTTGTTTTGTTTTGCAGTGCAGGGGATTGAACCCAGGGCCTTGTGCATTGGAGGCAAGCACTCTAACCAACAGAGCTACCTCCCCACCCCTGGGAGCATGAAATCTTGAGATACAGGTGTCATGTGCTAATAATTTTGTATGTATGCGTGGGGGGGGGGGAGGGGGGTGTGCAGGCATGTTTGCAAGTCCCTTTGAAGCCCAGGGCCAAGCCCTCTCTTCTTGGTCTATGTAGTACTATCATTTCATTTGAACCAAATCCCATAAAGATCATATATTAGGTCATACAACCTTCTCTATATTTGGGTTATCTTTGTGCTTTTGAGTCGTCTTTAAGATACAGTACCATGTAGAAATCCAGATCTCTTATATTTCAGGGCATTTTATTCAGATGCAAAACACATTTTTTATATTTTAAAACAGTAATAAATGAAAAAATCTTACATTGCACAACAAAACTGAATCATTGAAATTGCATTATCTGTGCAATGTCAAAACAATGGTACAGTAGGGGCTGCAGTTGTAGCTCAGTGGTACAGTGCTTGCCCAGAATATGAGGCACTGGGTTCAATCCTTAGCATCACATAAAAATAAAAGTATTGTGTCCATCTGCAACTAAAATAAAAACAGAAAAAATAAGGTATACTAGATACAAAAAGCAAATACAACTTAAAAGATGTTCTTTCTCATTAAGAGAAAACCTTATGAGGCTACCTATACTGAGAAAACTGCCCTCTTGCACACTACTGTTTTCTTCACAGATAAATAAAGCAAATTATAAGAAAAATACTGGTTCTTTTAGATCTTCAAAGCCTCCTTTTCTTCTCCTGAAAGTCATATACACATTAGGCTAATACCTGTTCTTTTTTAATTTTTTTTAAATATTTAGCTTTTAGTTGGACACTATATTTATTTATTTTTATGTGGTGCTGAGGATCGAACCCAGGGCCTCACACGTGCTAGGCTAGCGCTCTGCTGCTGAGATACAACCCCAGCCCCTGTTCTATTTTTTAAATATGAAAAAATATAAAATAAATATTTTTATCCCGAATCTTCAACATTTATTAGTTACTACTGTAAATACTTTTATGTAGCTTCCCAGAATTTTTCTAGACATAAGGGTTTTCTTTTTTGTTAATGTAAGCAGGATCATGACATACATATTCATCTGAATGTCACCTTTTATTTGTTTTGGTACTAGGGATTGATCCTAAGGGCACTTCACATCCACTGCTCCCTTTTTAAATTTATAGACAAGATCTTGCTAAGTTGTTAATGTTGGCCTTGCACTTTTCTGATACTCCTGACCTATCCTCTGGAATGCTAGGAATACAAGTGTGCAACACCACATCCAGCCAAGGTATGTAAACTTTTAGAGAAAAGAAAAAGTCATTTATCTTGAAGATCTTTGTCAAACAGAATAGGATAATCTCCTAAAAGTTCTTTAATATCTATGTGAGATAACCATGTAAAATAATTAGTACCCGATCCAGGTTGTTCTTTTAATGTTTCCTTCCTCCCCTTAATAGAAGTCTTTTGGATTTATGCTGATTCTTTAAAGAATTGATTTTTATAGGCACTCAGGATGCAAGTTTGCCCTGAGTCTCAGAGGAGACTTTGGACTTGAACTTTGAGCAATCTTGGAACTGTTGAGACTGTGGGGACTCTTTTCTAAAAGAAGGCAAAGTTATACTCTATTGTTTTAGTCAGCTTTTTTTACTGCTGTGACTAAAAGACCCAAACAGAATAATTGTGGAGGAGGAAAGGTTTATTTGAGGGCTCCAGTTTGAGTTCTTAGTCCATATGCAGACAGCTCCATTCCTCAGGACTACAGGTGAAGCTGAACATCATGGAAGAAGAGTGTGGAGGAGGGAGGCAGCTCACATGATCAGGAGGAAGCAGAGAGAGACCCCCACTACTTCATCTTGCCACACCCACCTGCCTTCAGTTACCACTCAATCCCATCAGGTGATTAATTCACTGATTGGGTTAAGATTCTCACAACCTAATCATTTCCTCTCTAAACCTTTTAGAAGTGTCTCGCATGAGCTTTTGGGGTACACCTCACATCCAAACTATAACATTCCACCCCGTCCCCAAAAGCTCACACTCATCTGACAAAGCAAAATACATTTAGTCTATCCCCAAGAGTCCCCACAGTCTCAGCAGTTCCAAGACTGCTCAGAGTTCAAGTCCAAAGTTTCCTTTCAGACTCAAGGCAAACTTGCATCATGAGTTCCTGTAAAAATCAAGCTATTTACAAGTTTCCAATATATAAAGGTACAAAATAAACACTTAGAAAACATAAAGGTACAAACTAAACACTTAGAAAACATTTAGAAAAACAGAGGCCTTCGAAAACATTTAGAAAAACAGAGGCATAGAGAGAAAGGAAGGGACCAAAGCCAGGCTGAAATCCAGCTGGTCAAACAAGTCCTATAGTTCTGTCTGGCATCTGGAGCATATGATATGATGTCCTCTCCAAAGAACTTGTATAGATTACCCCTCTGGCTTTGTTGGTTGCAGCCCAAATGGCCTGATTGTCTTCTTGATCCTGCAGCTTTCCTAGGATGATGCTCCACGTTACTGGCATTTCTTAATCTTCAGGGGTCTCCATCAGAGCTTTGGCTTCCTCCACACATCTCCATGCCTAACCCTCTTGGGGGCTGCCCACAGAGACTCCAACCCTGCTGCACTTTGCCTGGCTTTCCAGGCCATCCTTTGAAATCTTGGTGGAAGCCTCCATAACCCACTAACTCCAGCATCCTGCTTTCCTGCAGAACCAGCACCACATGTTTGACACCATGGTCTGCTGCCATCTGGAGCGGTAGCCATGGCCCCAGGGACCCTGGCTGCAGCAGCCTGAACACTTCTGAATAAACTTCCTAGTGCATGAAGGGTGCCCCATTGGTGATTAATTCACTGTTGGGTCAAGGCTCTCATAACCCAATCATTTCTTCTCTGAACCTTCTTGCATTGCCCACACATGAGCTTTTGGGGTACACCTCAAAAACCATAACATCCATAAATGTATGTCAAAATAATACATTCTATTGTCATGCATAAGGAAAAAAATGACGATGGCTTATAGTAATACAGAAAACTTAAAAAAGCTTTGCCTCAGCTGGATGCAGCAGTGCACACCGGTAATCCTAGTAGCTAAGGAAGCAGAGTCAAGAGGCTCATGAGTTCTAAGCCAGCCTCAGCAACAGCCAGACACTAAGCAACTCAGTGAGACCCTGTCTCTAAATAAAATACACAAAATAGGGTTGGGATGTGGCTCAGGAGTTGACTGCCCAAATTCAATCTCCAGCACCACCCCTCCCTCACCAAAAGATTTGCCTCATACAGTGACCACATGATGCCATCAACATATGATAAAATTAACATAACTTTAATTTGGTCATGTTTATGGATTATCATAGATATTCTTTTTCTTTAAATTTTTCTACAACCAAATAGGTGAAAGGCAAAATAATAAATTAAGGAAAACTGGAAGGGCAGGGGAGTTATCAATAAGCTCATAGAGTCCCATTATGGGTATCTTTTCATTTTCACTTTTTTTTAAAAAATAAAGTTGAGAGACCATCTTTTAAATACAATGTGTACATGTGTGTTGTTTTTGTTACTTAACATTTTATCATGTTTCCTTGCATTAAAAAACAAGGCTTAAGGCTTAAATTTTGTCAATTTTAATACTGTTATTAAACACCACTAAAAAGCATAGAACTACAAATTGGAAGTAATCTTCAATTTTATCATGGAGCCTCGTTTTACATGAGCAAAACGGGAACCCAGCCCTTAGTCTAGGTCTCACAGCTGGAGACTGTAGCCCATCTCTGCTGTCATATGTTCGCCACCATGATGTGTTTGTTGAGCAAACCAACCAGGAGCATTACAACTGTAAGCCAAAAATAGAAGTTTATTATCTCAGACATTTTGTTATAGTAACAGAAGAAGACTGTAAGAAATCTTCAATTGAAACATGTATCTATTGCAAAGGATCCTTTTCATAACATTTTCAAAAGGTCTTTCAGGAAACCATTGCTTTGATACTGTATAATTTACAACTATATCTATTAATCCCTTTACTGAGGATGTTAAGAAACAGGATATTATCCAATTCTCCAACCTATCTAAACTCAGAGTATGCATTTCCTTTCCTCTTTACTTATAGTTTCCATTCTCTTGCCTTTTTCTTTCACTTAAACTACATTTCATTTCAGTCTTCAAAGTTACAAGTTATCTTGGCTTATTCTCATTTTGAATGAGTACTCACCTTCAGTAGTTTCCTGAGACAGGGCAAAGGCTATATATGACAAAATAAATATATATGAAAACATTGAATTGGAAAATACTGAAATAATTTCCTCTAAATTCGAGAATGAGACATAGTTGCTTACTCAGCACTCTTATTAAAAGCAGTACTTAACATTTAGCCAGAGCAATTAGGCAAGAAATAAAAACATACAAATAGGACTGGGGTTGTAGCTCAGTGGTAGAGTGCTTACCTAGCACATGTGAAGCATGTTTGATCCTCAGCACCACATAAAAAAATAAAGATATTGTGTCTATTGACAACTAAAAATACTTTAAAAAAAATACAAATAATAAAGGAAGGGCTAGGATTGTGGCTCTGTGGTAGAGTGCTTACAAGCATGTGTAAAGCACTGGGTTTGATTCTCAGCATCGCATATAAATAAAGGTCAATTGACAACTAAAGGAAAAAAATTGTTAAAAAATTAAGGAAGTCAAATTATCCTTGTTTGTTGATGATTCTACACATAGAAAACCATAAGTGCAGCCAGGCACAGTGGTTCATGCCTGTAATACCAGTTGTTTGGGAGGCTAAAACAGGAGGACTGAGAGTTTAATGCCAGCCTCAGCAAAAATGAGACACTAAGTAATTCATGAGACCCTGTCTCTAAAGAAAATACAAAATAGGGCTGTGGATGTGGCTCAGTGGTTGAGTGCCCCTAAGTTCAATCCCCAGGCTCCCCTGCCCCAGAAAAAAAGAAAGAAAAGGGCCACACCAAAGGTTGACTAGTGTGGCCATTTAACACCAATTCTCCCAGTACACAAACATGGGGGAGGGTCTGTCTTTCCACCTTGTAATGGCTTCTTCAGTTTCTTTCCAGGTTTGTTTTGTCTGTAGTAAGATTATTTTCCTAATTTCTCAATGAGCTCATTAATGTTCAGAAAATCTGATTTTCCTAAGTTGATTTTGTATTCAGCTACATCACTAATTCAATTGTTTTGAATTGGTTAAGACTAGTTTTGTGACTTAATATATGGTCTATTTGAGAAAGACTCATACATTGATGAAAATAACTATGCATCCTGCAGCTGTTGGGTAGAATATTCTATAGATGTCTACAATGTCCATTTAATCAGAAATATAATCTAACTGATATTTCTTTGATTTTTTTTCCTGGATGACCCATCCATTGATGAGAGTAGGGTACTGAAGTCACCCATTATTACTGTTTTGGAATCTATCTCTAATAGTGTTTGTTTATCTTCTGGTTGTTTTAAATATTCTGTTCATTCTTTCATCTCATTCATCTTACACACTTAATGGTTAATGACGATAATGTTTGATGCTTTCTTATTTCTCATTTGCATATCTATTCTCTTCTAGTTAGACTTATTCTTTTACATGTTCCTATAATTTTTCTTCCTCTTCTTGTGGGCTTGCCTTAATTATGTTTTGTAATTTGGTCCAGTAGTCAAGAATTCCCTTTCTTCATGGTTATCTTGGAAGGTCTTTACTTCTCTGTCAATTCTAAAAGATAGCCTTGGTGAACACAGTACTCTTGGCTGGCTCATTTTTTTTTTGTCTTTCGTGACTTCAAATACATGGATCCATGCCCTCCTGTCCTTTAATAGAGTTCCTTCTGAGAAATATTCAGTTAGTCTAATGCGTCTGCCTTTAAATGTACCTTGACACTTCTCTCTTGCCACGTTTAATATTGTTTTCTTGATGAAGTATGTTTGACAATTTAACTACAATGTATCATGGAAAAGTTCCTTTCACAACATATCTCTTTGGGGTTCTATATGCATCGTGTATATAGATGCCCATGTCTTTTGCAAGATCTGGGAAATAGGTTTTTTTTTTCCCCCCTTGGATACTGGGGATTGAACTCAGGGGCATTTGGCCACTAAGTCACATCCCCAGCCCTATTTTGTATTTTACTTAGGGACAGGGTCTCAGTGAGTTGCTTACCGCCTTGCTTTTGCTGAGGTTGGCTTTGAACTCATGATCCTCCTGTCTCAGCCTCCCGAGTTGCTGCGATTACAGGCATGCGCCAAGGCGCCCAGCTCATTAAATAGGTTTTGTTTAATGCCCCCAACCTGTAGCTCTTCTCTCTCGGGTATGCCAATGAGCCAGATATTTTGTCTTGTGATGTTGTCCCAAATCTCTTGTATGGCAACGTCATACCTACTCAATTTTCTTTCTCTACTAATATTTCAAAAGTTTCATCTTTATATGTTATTCTTTCTTCTATTTTATCCATTCTAATAGTGAGACTTCCAAGTGAATTTTCTGACATTGAACTTTTCAGATCTTTCTTGAATTGTTTTGTTAATTCATCCAGCTGTTTATCCTTTTATCACATACTGCTTTTAACATTGTTCTCCTGAAAGATTCTTTGTGTGGCATTTCATCCACTTTGATATCTTTGGAATCAGTTACTAAAGAGTTATGAACTTTTGGAGGTGTTCTATTACGTTGCATCATATTTCATGTTTCTAGGTTGAGATTTACCAATCTATTGAATTGGACTCTCTTCCACTTTTATGTGATGTTCTTCTTAGTGGCTTCCAATTGATATGCCCTGTGGTGTCAAATTATTGTATAATGTTGAGTTTACCTCCAATTCAATAATGCAATCTCTCTGTGGCTTCTTGGGCTATGATTAGTGGGTCTGGACACAGTGCATGCCATACTGAAGTCTGAGGTATCTACTATCTGGGCAAGTCTCACAAGAGTGGGAACCCTCTCATAATTCAGGCATGTTTAGTGTAGGCAGCAGAGTAAGTGGAGACATGGAGGTACACCCTCTGGAAACCCCTACTAGGTGGTGGAAGTTTCTATAGGCACTGTTGATATTGGCTCTATTACACAAAAGCAATTCTGAGGTTGATTACTCCAGTTATGGTGAAGGGCCTGAAGTTCCTCCATTTCATGGGGAGAGTCAGGGTCGAAGATCACAGCTTCCCCGCTGTGGCACTCACATTCAGTCTTGCCAGGAATGCACAATCTGATATATGGGTGTGACCCATACAGAGGTCTGTAGGTGTGGTGTCCACATCGTGTGTACTATTCCTCTCTGCTGTTACTATGGGAATGTCCATCCAGGAAGGGGACTTCAGACCTCCACTTGAAGGCAGGTCATTGGCCAGGAGCTTTTGGCCCTTATATTCTTTTTAAGTTGTAGTATCCACCAAGATTGTGGCTAGAGTTGGGTTCAATTGTGGCTAGAGTTGGGTTCAATTCCTCAGCTGGGCTGGGAGTATAGTTCCAGTGATAGAGCACCTACCCAATGTGCACGAGGTCCCAGGCTCAATTCCCTGTACTGCAAAAAATAAAAATAAAAATAGCCAAAAATATAAAATAAATATGAATAATAGCACCAATAAGAACAAGAGAAAAAAATAGGGGGAAAAAAGGAAAAAGAAAACAAAAGTTAAAAAATAAAAAGGGAAAACAAAAAATATTTAAAACAAAAAGAACAAAATACACAAAAATGAAAATTCCCTAAGGTGCTTAAATAGGGAGCAAGTCAGATTATACTATGTCAATTGTAAATAGCCCCTATTTACAATTAAGCGACTACTTAAAGCTTCTTCCCAGGTATCCCATGGACAGAGTGACCAGAAGATTTTCACCCACTCCCCAATCCTTTCAGTTATAGTGTCTGCCAGGTAAGTGATTTGTGGTGAAAATCTCTCTCACCAGCTTTACATGCTGAAATGAGCTAGTACACCATGAGCACTTGGTAGTGTTTCAGGCTGCACACTCAGGGTGTAGCAAATTCTCAGTGCTGCAGCACAGTCCTGAATATCTCTGAAGGTGGGGACGAAGGAGACCCAGAAATCTGTGCTGGAAGATGATACAAGTTCACTGGGAGATGATACAAGTTCCTCTACAGAGGATTCACTGGGGTGCCAGGTCTCTTGTCTGTTAAGACTGCGTTTGTCTGCACAATGTCAGATTTTATGTTACAGAAATTCAATGGGACACTCTTTCACTTACAACCCTTCCCCTCCTCTGACCATGCTGCCATTCAATAGGCACTGTTTCACTTGCGATTCTATTATTCAAAATCTCTGGGTTCTACTGTCTGCTTTTTACACTGTTGAATTCCAGTGCTCTCCCACAGCCATCTACCTTGACATTTAGCCACACACCTGTTGCTCTAGTTCTATCTTGTAGAAAAGAAGGCAAGTCTAGGTGTCTTTTATCTGCCCTCTTGCCTTTTTTCTGTTTTTCTAATATGGCAAATTTAACCATTTATCAGTTTCAAAACCAAAAAAACAAGCAACATAATATGAAAGTGATTTTTATTGCTACATGGTCTCTACTATACTTCTGTGGAAAAGCAGACACAGAAAGAAAAAGAGTGCTTACATTCTGCTTAAACCATCAGACTTCTGGAGTATATATATCTAAGTGATTCAACTAAGGGACCATTACAAAGGTAGGGTTGGGTTAAGGAAAACCAACTAAAAATATGGAAGCAGCTAGGGAATAGTCAGAGCAAGAAGCCTTTACACCCCCAAATCTGAAGAAGTCAGGGGAGAGACAGATTATCATAAACCAGAGAGAGCTATGCATGTGTGAGTTGGCATACTGAAAAGAGCCTGTCCCTATAGAGGAAGATAGCCACTGAAAAATATAGATAAGCCGAGAGGAGAGATATATAAAAACAAATATAAACAAAAATAAACAAAAAAACAACAATCTCTCACTTTCCTAAAGGAAGTATGCTGAGGTGTTACAATTCCTTTTCCACAGGACTACAGCTGGGGAGAAGATGGTAGGCAGGAAGAGATACAGAGAAGAACCAACACAGGATTTAGGAAAAAGGCAGTGTAACATGGGAACACTACTCTCATAACCTGCAGGACAACACAATCTCCAAATATATGATGGTACAAGATAACCTCATTATCTGCCAAGAAGGAGAAGCAAATTTGGTAACAGGAACATCAGGAAAGCATGGTATCCTATAATAATCCTTGTCTTTGGTGTCTGCCACAATGCAATCTATTCTGAATTTTACAACCGTACTCACCTAAAACATGACTTTCATCATTCCACTTCATTATTATAAAAACCATCAGTGACTTCCAATTACCCAAAATTCAACTTAGTGAGACATTAAAGATTTTCCAGATACATAGTGATCCCATTATCTTTCTTTATCCCTATTCTCTCTTAAACACTTGCACATTAATTAACCCCCAATCATTTATGAACTACTTCATTTTACACACTGGTGATAAAGCAAGAAACAAAGGCTCTGCTCTCATGGTACTTATGTTCTAGTGAACACCAAAAACAAATGAATACAAAATATCACACATGCTATAAAGGCAAGTAAAGCAGCTAAAAGGAAAATACTGTAAATGTGGACAGGATGCTATGGTTTAGATGTACTTTGTTACCTGAGTCCAGACAACTAAACGTAACTTTTTTTTAAAAAAAGCCTGAAATCTTAACTACCCAGCTAAAATTAAAATACAATTTAAGTATAAAACAAGTTCTGTATTTATGTGTGATGAAGGTCTTGTAATTGTATTCATTTATGATACACTTTTCAAAAATAAGGATTTGAATTATTAAACATTTATTATAACCACAGTGTTGCTGGGGCAAGGCATATTTTAAAATATCTCAAAAATAATGCTTTAAGACTGTTAATAATTGCAATGATTTAAACTTCTAGAATATTACCATAACACTACTTACATTACATTGCAAAAACTGTAATAGTTGAGGGCAAAAATTTCCAGATAGCTATATTACTTGACAGGTTCACTTGCTTCTTAAAATATTTTAGATCAGCATTTAAAGGAAGGCAAAAGAAAATAATTTCCAATAGAACTGAATTTAAAAAATAAAGACTATTAAGAATACAGAAAGGGCTGGGGATGTGCGGTAACGCTCTCGCCTGGCATGAGCGGGGCGCTGGGTTTGATCCTCAGCACCACATAAAAATAAAATAAAGATGTTGTGTCCACCGAAAACTGAAAAATAAATATTAAAAAAAAAGAATACAGAAAGAGGTAATAAAGTGATTTTGTTTTTTACCAAGGTTTCAATAGAAGCAAATACACCCAATAAATCCTTTATAAAGGACTCAGCTTTGTAACTATTTTGGAGATCTAAGTCATTGTCTGCAACAGGAAACTAACTTGAAAAAAGTTATCCAATTATTCATGAAACTTCTCAACTTAGATTCTTATGCATTCCTACTTTATACCTTGATTTTATTTCACTAGAATACCAAAGCAAACCAAAATCAATTTAAATGAATGGGTAATTCGAGGTCCTATAAGCCCTAGAACAAATGTATTGTATAACAGGAAGAGCTTTCTTGCCTTGACTGAAGCAATATAATCGTGGCCAGTGAAATTTTGCCAATTGAAAAAAAAATAATACATGCCTGATTTTTTGTCCCCCTAAAGTGTAGGAGAGTGCTTTATTTTATTTTTGATACTGGGAATTCAACTCAGGGGCATTCAACCACTGAGCAACATCCACAGCCCTATTTTGTATTTTATTTAGAGACAGGGTCTCACTGAGTTGCTTAACGCCTCGTCATTGCTGAGGCTGGCTTTGAACTCACAATCTCCTGTCTCAGCCTCCTGAGCTGCTGGGATTACAGGAGTGGCCACCACACCCGGCTTTATTTTTAACAAATACAAATATACTTCAAGTATTATGGTTGGTAAGTTAACTTTTAGGAGATGAAAATGATGAATTGATATGGGACAACTATCATAACTACCCTCTCCCAATGAAGCTCATCTTCCAAAATTCATCTTAAATTTTTCATTTGTAAAACCTAGACAGGCTCAACCATATCTTTTGTGACTATCAATAAAATTCGATTTTGTTCATCCACATTTTTTAAATGCTCCTTGATATTTTTATATTTGATAATAAAAGGAAAAGGTCACAAAGTAATTTTTTAAAATAAGAATTGCTGGGGCTGGGAGTATAGTTCAGTTGGTAGAGTGCTTGTCTCATAAGCACAAGGCCCTGGGTTCAATTCCCCTGCCCACCCCCAGCAAAAAATAAATAAATAAATAAGAATTACTGCCAAGCACAGTGGTGTACATTTGTAATCCCAGCGACTTGGGAGGCTGAGGCAGGAGGACAAATTCAAAGCCAGCCTCAGCAATTTAGTAAGGCTCTAAGCAACTCAATGAGACCCAGGTTCTAAATAAAATACAAAAAAGGGCTGGGGATACGGCTCAATGGTTGAGGGCCCCTAGGTTCAATCCCTCATACCAAAATAAATAAATAAATAAGAATTACCCATTTTATGTGATGGGTAACTCTTTGTCAAACTTGGCTGGACATTATTGACCAAACATTATTTTAGGTATTTCTGGGAGGGTTATTCAAGATAAAATTAACATTTAAATTGACAGACTGAGGAAATCCCTCAATAATGCACATAGACTTTGTCCAATCAGTTGAAAACCTGACTAAAAAAAAAGATGGACCATCTCCACGGTAAAAGAGATTTCTTCTTTCTTCCTATCTGCCTTTCAACTAGGACATACTTTTTTTATACCTTTGGACTCACACTACATCATCAGCTTCCCCAGGTCTCCAACTTGCTGACTCACCCTGAAAATCTTGAGACTAGCCAGTTTCCAATAATTGCATGAGTCAATTTCTTATAATCAATCATGTACACACACATATATTTTTTCTATTGGTTGTATTTTTCTGGAGAACTCTAATACAAATCATGGCTGTTTCTTTTTTTTTTTTTTTTGTAGGGGGTGGGTACCAGGATTAACTAAAGGGCACTCATCCACTGAGCCACATCCCTAGCCCTATTTTTTTATATATTTTTTTAGAGACAAGGTCTCATTGAGTTGCTTGGCACCTTGCTTTTGCTGAGGCTGGCTTAGAATTTTCGATCCTCCTGTCTCAGCCTCACAAGCTGATGCACACTGCACACGGCTTATGGCTGTTTCTTTCTTTAATATTTTTTAGTTGCCAGTGGATTTTTCACTTTATTTGCTTATTCATATGTGGTGCTGAGGATCGAACCCAAGGCCTCACACATGCTAGGCAAGTGCTCTACCAACTGAGCCACAACCCCAGTCCACTCATGGCTGTTTCTTAATAACTGTGTGACCTTAGCTAACTCGGTTAACTTCCCTGAACCTATAAAATGATATAACATTGAGAAAGAAAAATTAATTATGTAAAGCATTGAGCACAGGGTCTGATACATGGTGCTCAACAAATGAACACTGTTGTTATCATTATAAGGCTCTATTTTGAGGGGGGGGGGGAATCCAGGTGAAATTGGGCCTAAAGATGAATACTTGGAGGCCAGGTATAGCGGCTCTGGTGGTAATCCCAACAACTCAGGACCCTGAGGCAGGAGGACTGTAGGTTCAAAAAGTCTCAGTAACTTAGCAAGACCTTGTTCTCAAAATTTAAAAAGGGCTGGGGATGTTGACCCAGTGGTCAAGCAGCCCTGGGTTCAATCCCTAGTATCGTTTAAAAAAAAAAAAAAAAAAAAAAAAGACGTATACTTGATGAGGAAAATATCAATGTGAACAGGAATTGGCAGATTACCCTGGTCAATGGGAAAATGTCCTTTATTTTTTCTTTTCCTCTATTTTCATATTTCCAAGAAATCTATTTCTAATTTTTATCACCGCACACAATTTTCTATATGGGAAAATTTAGATGGAATGCTTAATAAAACACTAATTAAAATCTTGTTTAAAAAAACTTTCTAAATATACACCTCTACTTTCTTGATTCAATTAATTAAACTTGGTGGATATAAATATAAACCTTCTGATAAAAGATTTTGTAGAGGTACTAAGTTCAATGAAAATATTAACCACTTTAACATACTATATATTTTCAAAACTAAATCTCAAGGTATGTGTCAAAAAATGACAACATACTTTGCCGTCATTAGCCTTTTATAAAATTGAGAGTAGTTTCAATTTCATTTTGCTGAGAGCTCTGGCTACTAAAGCTTTATGATAAAGATCTCCCTCCCTTTACATCAATAACTTCTAAGAAAGGGTAAGTACAATCTCTTCATTGTGCACCCTTCAATTTCAGGATAGGCAGGGAGGTATCATTGTGCAGAAATTGATTCTGTTTCAAATGCAAACAACCCATTTACCAACCAGTCTTAACCGTAGAAATGTCAGAGGTACTGGAATTTTTACTTCCAGTGAAAAAAGAGAAGAGACAAGATGGTGGATAAAACGTTTCCTTTTCACAACTCTCCAAGTGAGAAAAGTCAGAACAACAAAGCAAATACTATATTCTGAAAAAGAAGGAAAACTCTGAGAAGTAATAAAGAAGTAAGGGGAAACCTAAACAGCATGGAGAATTGGAAAGGGAATGTAGAGAAAAGTACAACACAGGTCACAATGGTTTGGCTCCCCAGTGAGGGAATGACACTACAAACATAAGGTAAGCCAGAGGGTACAATCAATCCTGATTGTAACTTTAGACTGGAAGTTCTAACTGAAAGAGAAATCCACAGTTCATACAAATTCTAGATCCAGTTCAGGACCCAGTTATCCCACTCCTTGGTATATATCCAAGGATTTAAAATCAGCATACTATAGTGATGCAGTCACATCAATGTTTATAGCAGCTCAATTCACAATAGCTATGGAACCAACCTAAGTGCCCTTCAAAAAATGAATGTATAAAGAATATGTAGTATGTATATACAATGGAATATTACTCAGCCATAAATGAGAATGAAATTATGGCATCAGCCAGTAGATGGACAGAACTGGAGACTGTCATGCTAAGTGAAATAAGCCAATCCTAAAAAAACCAAAGGCCGCATGTTCTCTCTGATATGCCAATGGTAACACAAACTTATGCAGGGGTGGAGGGGGATAGAAGTTCATTGGATTAGACAAAAGGGAATGAAGGAAAGGAAGGGAGGATGGGAACAGAAAAGACAGCAGAATGAGTCAGACATAACTTTCCTATGTTCAAATATGAATACATGACCAGTGTTAAGTCCACATCATGTAAAACCTCAAGAATGGGAAGTTATCCTCCATGTATGTATGGTCAAAATACACCCTATCGTCATGTATATCTAAAAAGAATAAAAAAATAATCTGGGATAAAATACAAATAAATAAATCCAATTTGGGTATCTGAACTGAGTTTCCCCTCCTGCATAGCAAGATAGTTTTAGAGAAGTCAATACAATATTCAGCAATTCTCAAGAGTGCTTTAACCAAAAGCCATCATAAGAAGGATCCAATTGTTAGGGACCAAACTGCTCTGAGGTGCAGAAAACTTGAAGCAATCACAGTTCAGGGTCCCTGTGAACACCCTGCCACACTGACTGGGTGTGACACCAGCCATAGCTGGCACAAGCCTGCTGAATGGTTTGAGTAGCAAGAAGCAGACTGAGGCAGACAGCAGAACACAGTGATTGGTGTCCTCTATAAAAAGCAAGACTACTTTCAAGTATTGTTATGAAGGAAGGACCCAGGCCTGAATGCATCCAGACTGAGGGTGGTAAAATGCACAGTTCCTGGAGTGCCTCCTGCTCCCATGCAGATTTTGCAGGGTTTATTCTCTCCCCTCACACCTAGAGGCATCCTGGATTGAATACTTGCCACACCCTCAGGTAAACAGACTGTAGTCAGCTGGGCTAAATTTATGCCCACCTGGGCAAACCCCACAAAACACCAAATCTTTGCTGGAGAGAAAGGATGGCTATGGCCCAGACAATGACCATGTACTGGGCACAAAGACTAAGGGGCTCTGGGAAGAGGGTATACCTGCTCAGAAAGTGTTTCCAATTAGATCATTTGAACTAGAAGGAATTCTTGGCTTTTTTTCCCCCATCTATTATTATTTTTAATGGTACCTTTTCCTTATTTTTTAACCTTTTTTATTATAGCATAATAGGATCCTCTCCCCTCTTCTATTGTCTCATTTATTTTTTTTATTTTCATTAACATTTCCATTTTCAGTTTATTCTATAATATTTCCCCCTTTCTTTTCTATTATTATTGGTAGTGTGGTTTAATTGATTTTTATTATATTTCCATATCTAGTTTGTTTTTATGTTTTTCTTCCTTTTGAGTGGAGTCTGGATCAAGCCTGGTAGCTTGCATGTATTAAGTGGGTACTTTTCCATTAGCAAGGCAAGAAAAAGTGTACTTTACTTCAGCCACAATCTGGTACCACTCAAACCTTGCTGAATACTTCAACTCTAAGAATAGGGGAGAAAAAATCCTACTGCCATGGACCTACTTTCAAAAAAACATGGCTGACCGGGTCCTGAAGTTCTGCTCCTGACATCTGATCCCATAGTAACATGAGAAAAAAGTAGCACAACTGGGGCAGAAACCACACCACAAAGAACCTCAGCATAGGCTGTTCCTATACCTTGCAGACAGAACTAAGTTGACAAGACTGAAGTCGTAACCACAGATTTACCAATTACAACACATCTGCCTAAACTACCAGAGAGAACCCTCTCTTCTAAGACCTCCAGAGGATACAGGTTTCTCAGGCTCCAACACACTACACACTTGTGTCAAAACTCATCAATCACATCCAGAAACAAGAGGCAAACTAACACTAAGTCCATCTGGAATTAAATTTAACATTACCAATAAACTAACAGCCCTGGGTACATCATTAAGAGAAGGCTATTTCTCAAGAAGGCCCTCCCAGAAAAGTAGAAGATATATATATACCCCCCCAAATGGGCAAATCTCAAAAAACAAATAAAAGAAATATGAAAAAAACAAAGTAATATGGCTCTCCAAAAGTTCGTAACTCTCTAGTAACTGATTCCAAAGATATTAAGGTAGATGAAATGTCAAAGAACATTCAAAAGAATGTTAAAAATGATCAATGAATTCAAAGAGGATACAAATAAAGAGCTGAATGAGTTAAGGAAGACAATGCAGGATATAAAAGACCAAGGCTATCTTTACTCCACATCTAACTTATCAGTTTCCTTAAAGAGAGAGAGAGAAAGAAACTTAACAACCCAACCATTAGAAATTGTCCCACATTAACATTTAATATTCGGGGTTTATCGTTGTCTTGGACTTTCCAACACCACCTAATGAAGTCGAAACCTGAGGATACCACCCTAACAACAGAAGTGAGGTCACTGTGACAAGTCAGACCACTCTTCAAAGTCAAAACTGTAGCTCATTTTACGCTAACAGGGCTTATTTCCAGAACTTCTGTCCTGCCACCCAAAGAAGTGGAGAATGTGGATTTCAAAAGTTGTTTGGCACCAATTTCTTGGAACAAAAATTAAAAAAAAAAAAACAAAAAAACACGAAGCTTTCATTTGGCTCCTGGAAGGTCACCCTGGTATGCGTTAGGCTCTGCCCTGGGTTTGTGGCACCTGCGCTGGCCCCTCACCCAGTGACCTTCAGGTCCCTCCCTGTGCTTGGCCCGAGGCTGGAAGGCCCTCTTTCACCGCGCGGAAGCGATATCGCTCCCGAAGCCACGCCACCTCAGCCTCGGGAGCATGTTCTCTGAGGTCCAGTGTCACGACCTCCCCCTCCACGTCGGCCATCGACCGCCCACTGGACTCCCTCCGACCCAAGTCCCGCTCCCCTAGTGATTTCGACCCACGCCGCCCCCCAAATGCTGCCCCAAGTGGTCCTCCAAGAAGAAACCTCGGTTCAATGGCGCCTATTCAGGGCAAGGCCGCGCGAGGGGCTGGGCTGACACGCGGACGGGACCCCCTCGGTTCGCGCCTCGGGAAACGCCCCCTTCCAGCACCACGAGTCCCCGCCGGACCCCCGTCCTGAAGGAGGACCCACGGAGAGACAAGAAGGGACAACAAGAACTGCTTCTCTCGCCCGCCGCAACCCCTTGCCCGCGTTTACCTCAGGCGACCCCAGGGAAGCCGCCGGAACTAAATTTAGAAACCAGCGTAGTGCACGCTCACGTGCGCGCAGCCGGGAGGGGCGGGGGCGAGGGGCGGGGGCAAGGGGCGCAGCCCGGTGAGTCATCGACCCCGCCCCCAAGCGCTGGAGAACGCGCTGACGTCAGCCGCTTCCCCGAAAGGTGACGTAAGCGCGTCTCCGGGAGGCCGCGGAGCTGAAGGTAGAATGTTCAAGGAGTTTCGATGCCTTAAAGGAACCACGACTGGGATCGCCCCTCACCCACCTTAGATTCAGACCCTCTCTTATTCTCCTTTGTACTGAGGACTTCTGACAATTGAGATGGTGATGGAGCAACTGGATCTCATTGAAGGCTCCTTGGACGTTCCCGAACCTCCTCCCAGAAGCCCTCCTTGATTAACCTCAATTACTCTATGCTCCTGACCCAAGAGTCAGGAAGAATTTTCTGTGGTTCTTGACTCCTTTCCTCTTTTCTACAGGCTCTGAGCTTATGCTTATGCCTCCGCTTATAGAGAAATGCTGTGGTTTAAATTTATTTAATCCATTAACTTGGGCTGACTAGACGCATTTATTACTATAACAGTGGTCCACTTTATTCTTTGAATAGAGCTCCTTACTGTTCTGCCACCGCAAATTATTTTTGTTTTTGCATCTTATTTTTAAAATGGACCTGCCTCTTTCTCTTCCTCTCTCCTGCTCCTCCCTTATCTCTCCCCTTCTCTAATCTCAGGGAAACAGTATCACCTTTCTTCCCCATTTTAGGAAGAGTTATTTGTCCTCGAGCACACCCACCACCGAGTGAAGTAATCCAGACTTTGGAGATGGTACCGGAAGATCTCAGAAATGACTCTCTTCTAAATTAACAAGTGAATTATAACTCCTACAGAGAACAGGTGGAATGAGGCCTTTGAGTCACCTCTTTAAAACCCTGTGTTCTTACTGATGGGCACTGTCACTCCTTTGGGTCAGGAGTCCCCTATGTGTCTTCTTTGCTAGCAAAACAATAAACCTCAGTTTTCTGAATTGGCATCGAGGACAAAGACTGAGCTTTCAGCAACATTACTGTTTTAATTTTGTTCAAACTGTGATAGCGTGTGATCTGAAAAGAGTCATTTAACTTCACAAGGTGTTAAATTCCTTAAACATTCCTACACTAATGTTGCTTTTGGAAGCTCCCAGAGGGCAAGATCCCTGTATTACTTGATAGTTTCGCACTACCAAAACATCCTTCAGTAACGATTTACTGAAGCTACTGTTTGTCAGATATTTTCGTTATCTTTCCTCCCCCTCTCATTTAATCCTTATAACTCCACTCAGAGGTAGGAACTATTGTTCCCATTTTATGGATGAGGAAAGAAATTGCCACACAGTAAGATTAAGTTTCTCTAGATCACACAGCTAATGAATGGTAAGCTGAAAGTCATTCCTAGGTCAACCAGAATCTGAAGTCCACATTTTGGGAGTTAAGATTGGCTCATTGTCCCTGTCCCAGTCCCAGCCCTGTCACATCTACCCTTGACCAATTCCTTTCTGGAAACCAGTGGCCAGAAGAATTACCTTGTTTCTCTTCTATCACAATCCCCTTTCTACTCTAAAACAATGGACAATTTCCTATTGGAACAGCATGTTCATGCCAAAAACAAATTAGAGACAATAACAGCTTCTTAAAGTTTTGAGCAAAATGGTGGTGAATCTGTGTACTCCAAACAGAGCCAAGTGGGCAAGCAGCTGTCAGTTCTATCTGACAGTCATTACTGGTCTTTGGCTAAATATCATTGCCCCATCTTCAGGCTACACCAAGAACAGGTGCACCAGAACAGCTTCTGCCCTCCAGCTTACCCCTGGGGACATTTAGAATTGATACCTGTTTCCTCCCAGTTTCCAGTCACCACCAGACTCCATATGTCTGCCTGCTTCTGCCTCTGGTGCTAATGGAAGCATTTGGTCTTTCATTTTTGGGGGGGTTAGGAGGGGTACTGGAATTGAACTCAGGGGCACTTGACCACTGAGCCACATCCCCAGCCCTAGTTTGTATTTTATTTAGAGACAGCATCTCACTGAGTTGCTTAGCACCTTGCTTTTGCTGAAGCGGGCTTTGAACTTGCGACCCTCCTGCCTCAGCCTTTCAAGCTGCTGGGGTTACAGGCATGCAGCACAGTACCCAGCTGCTCATTGGTCTTTCTTGTTCTGCCAGGTTTTCAGGTGTCTGTGGCCACTGTGTATGTGTTCCCTAGGAATTAGAGACAACTACAGGTGACCTCAGGTATTTGGTGGGGAGATATCTGTGGGGACAGCACCTTCTCTGACTGGGTTGTGGCTGGACACACAGATGGAAGCTACCCTCAGGCTAACCAGAGCAGCTCCTGTTTCTGTTTTGTATCTAAAGAACTAAGGTCCAGGTGAGGTGACCTGCCTGAAGTCTCATGGGCTGGTAGTGGTAGAGGGTCCTAGTCAATTGACTTCCACCCTTTTTGTTTTCTTTTCTGCTATAGGGATTGAATTCAGGGGCACTCGACCACTGAGCTGCATCCCCAGTCCTATTCTGTATCTTATTTAGAGATACAGTCTCACTGAGTTGCTTAGCGCCTCACTGTTGCTGAGGCTGGCTTTGAACTTGTGATCCTCCTGCCTAAGCCTCCCCAGCCACTGGGATTACAGGTGTGCGCCACCGTGCCTGGCTCAGCCCACTTCTTTTTAACATGGATCATTCACAGCCCTGTTATATGACTCAGGACAGTTAGCATAAATGTGCATGGTAAACTATCATGTATATGACAAAGAGGAAGACAGACAGTGAGTGGCATGAGGGGTCTGAAACCATAGGGAAGACTTGGAGAATGTGACTTCTGAGGACTGCTGGCTGTCTTATCTTCCCCTTTCCTTCTCTCTTCTACCCAGTTTCCAGACAGGCAAGGGGGCTGTTCCTTCTCGGACCTAAGAATCATTTTCCCAGTGGAATGACACTCTGAAGTCCATTGCCATTTTTAAATCATCAGTAATAAAGGCCTTGTGTGTCACTGCAGGTTTTGATTTTTTATCTCCCAGTCTTCACTCCCTAGCATTTCCCCAACCCAGAAGTCCCATTAAATGTCATTAAGAGCCATAAATGTAACTGGCTACTAATGTGGAAGGATTGTGATCTCTAGCAAACAGCCCCAGCAAGCAAAAGAGCAGCAATCCTGGGTCTGTTCCCAACAAGGCCCGGTGACTCACTGTGTGACACAAAGCAAAGAACTGCTTTTGTGGAGGGAGAGATATTGGGTGGTGGGACACACGCTCTTCCCTGACAGAGAAAGGAGGTTGGGCAGTGGGTGGGAGAAGACAACATTCAGCCAGCTCACTGAGGATTGGAAGCTCAGAGGTTCCTGCTTGAATCCAGTAACTCCTTAGTGGTGCACAGGTCAGCTGTGACCTCTGTCTACTTGAGTTTCTGCCTCAGACAGGGCCACTAAGATGGTCTGGGCTGGATTATGGCACTTGCTCTTCATGACATCACTCTCATTGGTTAGGAATGCACCCTGATTATCCCTAACTCCACTTTAATAACTTCTTGTAGATCTACCCTCCAGGAATTTATTTGAAACTTTCTTTAATCTATTTATATTTCAGCCTGTAAAAGCCTTTCAAGCAACAAGTTGCTTCACCATTTATGTAAAAACACTTAGGTCCTAAAACACAGAAAGTACAATGCAAGGATCTGTTGTAATACTAACAAAAATAATTTGATGTTATAAACAATAAACATAGTAACTATAACTTGATGATAATTATTAATTCAGATGGCCTCACAGGCATATTTTCAGTCAAAATCTCCCTCCTCCCCTCCTCCATCAAAAAGTATTTACTAGTGGAGCGCAGTGCTGTGACAGATGTGACTGCACAAAAACTTGAGTCAACAGATTCCATGTCCTGGAAGGACTTATCGTCTAAGATCAAGATATGGTAGATGCTAGCCTTAGCTGGGGCTGCTATAACAAAATACCATAGACTGGGTAGCAGAAACAATAGACATGTATTTCTCACAGTCCTGGAGTCTGGGGAATCCTAGATCAAGATATAGGCAGATTCAGCATTTGAGGAAGCCCAGCTCCCTGGATTGCAGATGGCTGCCTTTTTTCCTTCTGTTTTTTGGTGGGTGGGGGATGTGGGGGTGGGGGTGGGGTACTAGGGATTGAACCCAGAGGCACTTAACCACAGAGCCACATCCCAGCCCTTTTCATTTTTTATTCTGAGACAGAGTCTTGCTAAGTTGCATAGGACCTTGCTAAATTGCTGAGGCTGGCTTTAAACTTTTGATCTCCTGCCTCAGTCTCCCAAGCCTGAGGATTACAGGTATGCACCACTATTCCTGGCTACATGGCCTCCTTCTTGCTGTGTCCTTACCTGGCCTTTCCTCAGTGTGTGCCCATGGTGCTTTTCCTCTTTTTATAAACCCTCCGATCCTATCATGAGGGCCCCACCCTCCCACTGCAGTCTGAACCTAATCCCCTCCTCAAGGGCCCACCTCACTGTGGGTTGGAGCTTCCAAATGTGATTTTCATTGAGCCTAAACTCTGCTCAATGAATGCTGGATGGATGGGAGGATGGGCAGAATTTAAAAAGAGACTCTCATGTGCTAACTGGGTAGAAGTCATTCATACACACACACACACACACACACATATATATACTTTTTAAAATAACATCTTAACCAGAGATATGAAAAATTGTACTGTATATGTATAATAAGAATTGTAATACATTCTGCTGTCATTCATTTTTTAAAAAAAATCAATAAAAAATAAAATAAAATAACATCTTAAAGCAAAGTTTCTGCAAAAGTAAAATATTAAAATTAAAATAGGTCTTTGTACATGAAAATACTAAGTTCTCTAATTGTATTCCAAGATGGTCATAAATATATTTTAATGGCTGCCTTGGACCTGGAGGACAAACATGGAGGGAGAGGAAATACCCTAACTTTATTGTAGTTCTGTGTGTATGTGTGTGTGTGTGTGTGTGTGTGTGTGTGTGTGAGAGAGAGAGAGAGAGAGAGAGAGAGAGAGCGTGCTCTCCTCAGATTGCCCCTGGAGCTCAGTGACTGGTGGCCTAGCTATTCCC